GGGTTTCTCTGTGTAGCCCTGTCTGTCCTGGAACTTGCTCTGTAGACCAACATGGCCCTGAACTCAAGAGATCTGCCTGCTTCTGCTCCCCAAATGTATTTGTTCTGTTTTTAAAAAAGATTTGATTATTTTTATTTTATATTTTATGGGTATTCTGCCTATAGTATGTCTGTGTACCATGTATATGCAGTGCCTACAAAGGCCAGAAGTCATCAAATTCTCCTCAACCTGGATTTACAGACGTTGTGAGCTGCCATGTGGGTGCTGAGAACTGAACCTGGGTTCTTTGAAGGAGCAGTCGGTGCCCTTAACTGCAGACACCTCTCCAGCTTCCAAATTAAGTTATCGTTAGAAATTTATGAGTATTCGTATGTGGGCCCATGTGACTTCAGGTACATCATGTGTGCACAGGAGCCTGCAGAGGCCAGAGAGTGTTAAGATTCCTTGAAACTGGAGTTACAGGCAGTTACAGTCACCTGATATGGGTACTAGGACCTGAAGTTGAGTCATCTGTCCTCTGCTGAGCCATCTCTCCTGCCCCCTGTGTAGCCCTGGATGTCCTGGAAATCCCTTTATAGACCAGACTGGCCTCAAACTCGCCTGCCTCTGCCTCCTGAGTGCTGGGATTAAAGGTGTGTGCCACCATGTCCAGCTTTTCATCATCTTTCTAAGGCTATTTTGAAGGCAATTGTTTCTCTATCTAGTCAGAAAAAGTCAGCCTGAACAGATACTTAACAACTGTGGGAAGACAGACAAAATGCTAGAGATATATAGTGCCTCTAGGGGAACTCCGGCTAGATACAGGAATGAATGGAAGCTCAATCTTATCAGTCTATACTTTTATATCTTCTGAACCTCCTATCATGTGCATATATTACGTCTTAAACAAGGGAAGTTTTTAAATATATAAATTGAACTAAGTGTCTTACACATGCTAGGCTGAGATAAATTCCCAGCCCCAAAAATATTAATTTAATTTAGTGCCAGGTGTGATGGTGTACACCTTTGACCCCAGTACACAGGAAGCAGAGGTAAGTAAATCTCTGTGACTCTGAGGCCAGCCTTGTCTACGTAGCATGCACTGTAAGCAAAGACTTACAAGAGAAACCCTGTGGCAGGGAGTGGTTGAGGGAGGATGGGCAGTACACAATGTACACAATGGATATTCCCTCTGAGTTCTGACCCCCTGGTCCCCAAGCTCTGCGTCTCAGGTGCAGAAGAAGTAGTAAGGTGCCGTACTTACGTCCTGACTGACCTGTAAAGACACCGTATGGTAGCTGGCAGGCACTCCTTCATCCTCTTCCTCATCACTATGTCCACCCCGAGTGCCATGCTGGCTGGAGGTTCGGGGCCGCCGAAGCACTGAGCCCTCCTTCGGTTTTTTCTTGAAGCGGTTCCCTTTGCTGTCATATTTGTGACTCTTGCCACGTTTATCCTGGGATTTGCACCCTGAGCAGAGCCAGACTTATGTCACATTCCCACAGCCTTAGGCCTTTCTCCCCTCTCCACCTGACCCACTCCCCAACTGTCCCTTCAACAGGTGACCTACCACCATTCAGACTGGCCTCTACAAAGATGCGGAGAGTCTTGACACAGAGTTCAAAGTTGTCAGGGGTGATGTGAGCAGCATCACGAACAATGAAGGACAGTGATTCCACACACTTGAGCAGGGACTTAGTGTCATGTGGTCCCAGGTCCAGGCCCACTGTGAGGCTATATTGATTAACCAGGGGTGAAGGGCTGGGCCTGCTGAGCCCTGCTCCTGCTTTGGAGTTATCAATGTCATCCTTCCCCACCTGGAAAATATACGGGACACAAGCTGGAACCTCTGTTCCTTATAAGGGGCCTCAGGTTCTCTCTGAGAACCCAGAATCTTTCTTACATCTCAGGATGGTAGTGCACTCACCACTAACCAACCACTGTTGACCATATCAGCATCTGTGGCAGATCGGTGTATCTTGCCAGGCCTGCCATGGTCAGTGTAGACTTCTGAGTCGGAAGTGTACCCTCGGTCTAGGCTGACATCATTTTGATGGTAGGATGGGAGCTCACTGTCTGACTGCGCTCCTAAGCCAGGCAAGGAAAAGGCAGAGTAAGAGCAGAGATGGGACATGGAACAGGATAACAGATCCTGAAGAAACACGCTAGGCCTGGCATCTTCTCTCATGCCCAGCTTATGTTTGGTCTAGCCACTAAAGGGCTGAGGCCTGAACAATATCTCTGTTGACCAAACAGGGCAGCAGGCTAATATAGGCTTCTGACAGTAGCTCATAGCAGGGTTAGGGAAAGGTGGTGGCATAGCACATAGGTTTCTGTAAAATGGTCTTCAGGGCAGTAGAAACTTGGCTTGAGAGCCTTCTGCACTGCCTGCTTGCCTGCATGCTGTCTAGCTTGTGGGTAGCCAATGCACACGGGAATCTCTGGAAGCAGATGGCAGGAACCAGGTGTTTTTAATCTGAACATAATAACCCGTGTAACCTGTGTTTTGTTTCCCACAGCAGCTCCTGGTCCAAACTGCTTATCTGCCAGTAAGCATCTTCCTGAGAAAGGGCATACCAGCATCAGGAGCATCAGCCCTGGCTGTGGCCTGTAGAGCATCTGGAGGCTTCACGCCTGAGCCAATACACTCCAGCAATGTGAAGAGGGTGGCCCAGTCGTCACCCGAGTGGATGTTGGCTGCATTGGTCTTGAGGAGTTCATGGAGCCCGTAGGCAACCTGGTGGCTGACCCTGGACAGCACGCTGGGCTTCATCAGTAACAAGATGCGCAGGGACAGCAGGACCTGGGATGGGACAGACACAGATACAGTTTCCTGACTTATCTTCCCCATTAAACACTTAGGTCGTGAGGAGAGTTTGGCTTAGATTTAACTGTTGCTGATCTGGTCTTGTCTTTTCTTTTGGAGTACTGGGAATTGAACTCAGGGCCTTACACCCTTGACCATGCTTCATTTTTTTAATATTGGTTTTCTTATTAATTATATGTTCACATATAGTTACAACAACACATAAAGAGTTTCCTTATGGCCAGATGGTGGTGGCGCATGCCTTTAATCCCAGTACTCAGTGCTCAGGAGGCAGGCGGATCTTTGTGAATTTGAGATCAGCCTGGTCTACAAAGCGATAGGCTCTAAAGCCTACAAAGGGTAGGCTCTAAAGCTATACAGAGAAACCCTGTCTTGAAGAAAATCAAAAAGAAGAAGAAAAAAAAAAGAAAAGAAAAAGAGCTTCCTTATATTACTTTGCCTAGTCTATCCCAAAAGCAATATGATGTAGAACTAACCATAACATGGCAACAAGGACAGAATTAGGAATAATTACTGGTTTCTACTGGCTTTCCCCAATTTTACTTGAATTCATATGTGTACTATGATGTACTGAGTCCTACACGGTGAGACCCACACTGCTGCTTGATAGCCACATTTCCAATCCTTGTTGCCTGCCCCACCCCTAACCCTCAGCAATCTGTCCTCAACTTCTAAAATCTGTGAATTCCAAATGTTATCTAGATGGAATTATCACTTAAGCCTGGTCTCCCCACCTGGAAATCCGCCCACATCTTTACACATAGGGTTTGTTGCTTTAAGTTGCTGAATAGCATTCCACGGTATGTTCGTACCACGGTTTATTCTCTTACTGCAAGTCATCAGGCTGACTCCAGCTTTTGGCTTTGATGAATACAGCTTCAATGAACATTTACATACATATATTAAAGTTAAAATAAGCCTTTATTTTTTTCTGGGATAAATGCCCAAAAGTGTATTTACTGGGTTGTATGGTAAGTGAATATTCAGTTTCATAATGAACTGCCATTAGAATAGCTACACTATTTTTTATTCCCACAAGAAGTGTATGAATAATCTAGTTTCCCTGTGTCCTTGCCAGCATTTGGTATTATCGCTTTTAATTTTAGCTGTTCTGGTAAGTACATTGCGGTGTGTGTTACTTTTTTGCATTTTTCTAATGGCAAATGCTATTTTATGGGCTTATTGGCCATTTGTATATCATCTGTTGTAGGGGAAGCTGTAGCCACACCTTCTTAGGGGCTGGCTACAGGTGTGCCTACAATCTGTGGAATATTTCTTTTTTCCATGTTTGCATTTTGATACTAGGCTTCTCTCATTTCTATTGCTTTATAATTTTTCACTTTTTTCAACTAAGCTTTCATAGATTGAAAATTTTGAGCATGAGTGAAGTCTGATTTATCAATCCTCCATCTTATGGATTGTGTTTTTAATATCCTTATTGGGCTGGGCATGGTGGGTGGTGGCACACCCCTTTAATGCCAGCACTCAAGAGGCAGAGACTGGCAAGTCTCTATGAGTTTGAGGCCAGCCTGGTCTACATAGTGAGTTCCAGGTCAGCCAGGGCTATACAGTGGGACTCTCCTTCAGGAGGAGCTCTTGGCTGCCTGCTGCTATGGAGGCTCTCCATTCATTCACATGCATGTACAATAACAAGAGCAGGAAGGGCCTCTTTATTTTTCTATACCTTTCCCAGATCCACTCTGTAGTCAGAGTGTAAACACCTGAGGGGAAGGAAAAATTTAGGGTTATACACAGAAGCAAAATAAGCTTGTTTTAGACTGTGACCAGGTCTACAAGGAGAGATGTGAGCAGGACTCCCTCCCCGACGTGGCTGTGTTTGTGTTCAGGCTTTTGATAAAAAAAAAAGTATGTAATAAACTAATAAACCACATTGGAAATATTTAGCTTAGATACTAAGATTTTCTCCTATGTGTCTAAAGGTTTTACAATATATATTTTATTTTTTAGATTTACTATTTTATGTGTTTGAGTGTTTTGCCTGCATGTATGTTATGTACATGCCTGCTGCCCAAGGAGGTCACAAGAGGGCACTGTATTCTCTGGAACTTGAGTTACAGATGGTTGTGAGTCACTATGTGGTGCTGGGAACCAATCCCAAGGCATTTGCAAGAGCAGCCAGTGCTCTTCACTAATGAGCCACCTCTCCAGCCCCTCCATTATGTCTTTCAAATTATCATCTGTTTAATTTTTCTGCAAAATAAAGGTTTAAGTCAAAGTTCACTTGGGAGATTGAGACAAGAATATGGCCAGCTTAGGCTACATAAAAAGACCTTGTCTCAAAATCAAAACCAAATAAAACCCCAAACTAAAACAGCTCAAAACCATTCAGTTGAGCAATGATTCATTTCTGGATCATCCATTTGTTTAATAACTTTATTTGTCTATTTCTTCAGCTATACTACATAATTTAAAATTAATATATTGTTTATGTATATGGGTGATTTGCTTGTATGTATTGAATGTATGTGTGACTGTGCACCAATGCAGTATTTACAGAGGCCAGAAGAGGGCATGGGATGCCTGGATTGGAGCTCCAGAGGGTTAGCTACTGTGTGGGTGCTGGAGGTCCAACGAGAGTCCATTGGTAGAGGAGCCAGTGCTCTTAAGCCCACATCTTGGAAGCATCTCTCCAGCCCACAATCATACATAATCATTGCTATAATAAACTTTAATACTGGCTAGAGTGGCAGGGTATGGGGTATATAACTGTAATCCCAGTTTAGGAAGGCAGAGGCAGGAAGGCTGTGAAGTCTTACTGAGATACACATTAGACCCTAAGTTAAAATAACCAATCAGGGCTACACAGTAAGACTGTTTCAAAAACAACAACAAACCTAAACAACAACAAAAACCCAGGCTGGTGAGATAGGTAAGTGGATAAAGGCACTTGCTGCCATGCCAAGCCTGATAATTTGTGTTATATCCTAGGAATGCAAGTTGTCTTCTGCCTTCCACATGTACACCAGTGACACACACGTACGTACACACACATACTTACTTATCCATGCAAATAAAAATATAACACAACAACAAAAACTAGATAGAATATTCCTCCTATTTCATTCTTTGTCAAAATGTTTGGCTATTGCAGGGACCTAGAGAATAAGCTTCTCTAGGTCCACAAAAATCTTTGCTGGGATATTATAGGAAGCTGCCTTAGCCATGTAGTGGTGGTGCTCACCTTTGATCCCAGCACTCAGGAGGCACAGGCAAGTGGATCTCTGTGAGTTCGAGGCTATCCTGGTCTACATAGAAACCCTGTCTCAAAAAAACCAAACAAACAAACAAACAAAGCAAGTAGCTGCATCACATATGTATGTATTGGTTGAGGAAGAACTGACATCTTAGTTGTATTGAGTTCTCTAACCTATGGAATGGCCTCTTGATGTATTCAGGGGTCTCTGTTTAGCTTTTTTTTTTTTTTTTTTTTTTTTTTTTTAAGACAGGGTCTCACTATGTAGCTCTAGTTGGCCCAGAACTTGCTATATAGACAGGCTGGCCTTGAATTAGCAGAGATCTGCCTACCTCTGCTTCCTAAGGGCTGAGATTAAAGGCACTAGCCAACAAACCCAGCTGATTTCTCTTGTTTTTAGCACATAAATGCTGCAATTCACTTGTAAGTAGTATTGCTTTTATGTTTGTTCTTTTGAGACAGGATCTCTTTTTTTTCTTTCAATTTTTTTTATAATTTACTTATTTTTTTATTATTATGCACATAGGTGCTTTGCCGGCAGGCATGTCGGTATGTGGGCATCAGATTCCCCTGGAACAGGAGTTAAAGACAGCTGTAAATTGCCATGTAGGTGCTGGGAATTGAACCCAGGTCCTCTGGAAGAGCAGCTAGTGCTCTTAATCACTGAGGAATTCCTAATTTGCCTCCACTTTCCAAGTGCAAGGATTAAAATCCTGTCCTGCTAGGATTCCTGTGAGTTTGAGTTCAAGGATAACTTGGTCTACATACTGAGTTCCAAGACAGCTAGAGCTAGATAATGAGATTACTATCTCGTAAACAAACAAACAAGCAAAGAAAAACCTGTGCTGCCAAAGCCCTGCCCTTTCCTTTTTTTGAGACAGGGTCCCACTCTGAAACTCATGATGTAGTCCAGGTTGGCCATAATCCCTTGGTGATTTGTCTGTCTCTATCTCCTGGATGCTGGTATCATACAGGTGAGTGACCATGCTATCTATCTGAGGCAGAGTCTCTATGTTGGCTTCAAACTCAAAAAGCTCTGCCTGCCCCTGCATCCCAAGTGCTGGGATTAAAGTCACCTGCCACCATGCCAGGCTGGAACTGCTTTTTCAAAAGACAGGGTCTCTGTGACTCTAGCTGCCCTCAAATTCACAGACATCTGGCTGTGGCTGTTTCTGGCCCCTAGGATTAAGGGCATGCAACCACCAGGTCTACCTAAAACTGTATTCTCCTCCTCCTCGTCTATGTGTTTCGTCTGCTTGTATGCATATGCACATGTGTGCCGGGAACCTGCAGAGGTCAGAAGAGAGCATTGGATCCTTTGGAATAAGAGTATGGAGCCATCATGTGGGTGTTGGGAACTGAATTCAGGTTCTTTCAAGAGCAGCAAGTGCTCTTCGTGGCTGAGCCATCTCTCCAGCCCTGCAATTCCATTTCTTAATTTTGGCTTCCATACGTTCAGATTACCATGTGGAGGTACGGCTAGTGTCTATGTTTGAACTGTGGGATCTTACCCTTAGGGTTCTAAATGTAAGAATAAGACACTTCAATACCCCTGCCCCCCAGAACAAGAAAGAAACCAGACACAAGATGAGAGGACTGCTAGAAAACAGCAGCAGCCCAACCCTAAAGCAGACTTAATGTCCAAGACCATTCTGGGATCACCCTCAATGCCACCTGTTAGGCTGCATGGGCCCTGAGGTTAGCCACTGGGCTAGTGTTACAGGACACTAAATGCACTTCCAACCTTAGGCCATACCCGCAGCTGACACTGTGGCCTTCGTCCCTTGCATGCTTGCCCACCTCCTACTTGCTTACCTGGCCACTGATCTCTTCTCTCCGGAGTAGCCGAATCGCG